CAGGTGGGGGACAGGTCGTGGGGCACCTCCTGCGGTGTCCTGTGCTGGTGGTCCCCCGTCCCTGCTCACAGCTGCTCCTCCTAGTTGCCTGTGGAGCTGGTGCTGCTGCTCACTGTTCCTGTGGTGGATCCCGACAAGGACGACCAGAACTGGAAGAGACCCCTCAACTGCCTGCACATCCTCACCAGCCCCCTGCTCTGCGTCCTCACCCTCAAGTCAGGCACCTGTAAGAGCCCTGGCAGCCCTGGACAGGACTGAGATGGCCACCAAAGCCCTGGGGACCACAGGAGCCCTTTGGAGCTGGCACCTCACCTGGGGAAGGGTGGATGGGCCAGCGAAGAGCCAAGCTGGGGGGCCTGGTTTGCAGCTGGATGGCTCAGTCCTTCCCCCAGGGATGGGGGTTTGGGCCTCTCAGCATCCAGGTCCTGGGGGAAAACTGAAGCAGGCCTGGCCTACCTGGGGAAACTGAGGCACGGAGGGGAGCAGCCCTGTGAGGGCTTAGGGTAGAGGTGGCTTTAGGGGACAAGGCTTTACCTCTTACCACAAGCCTGGTCGGATCCTGCTCCAGCCCCTGTGGTGCCTGCAGGGCTGCTCTGATGCCCCCCCTCTCCGCTACGTGCAGATGGGCTGTACCAGATCCAGGGCATCTTCCCAGTCTGGGGACTGATCACACTGGTTGGCTCCATCCTGGCCATCATCACCTTCATCACCACAAGCAACGAGGAGCCGCCCAAGTACCACTGTGTAAGGTGCCCCCCAGCCCTGAACACCCACCAGGGACCAGCACAGCCCGCTCTGGACTGGGCAGAGCAGGAACCAGGACCTGCTTCCCAGTCCCCAGGAGGGACACGGCTAGCTGGAGGTGTGCAGGGTCCTGCAGGATGCACCCAGGGACCAGCGTACCCCTCTGCCCTGCAGGTATTTGCCTTCCTGGGGTTTTTGGCCAGTGCCATGTGGATCAACGCTGCGGCTACGGAGCTGGTGAACATCCTCCGGACCTTGGGTGTCATCTTCCAGCTGAGCAACACCGTGCTGGGCTTGACGCTGCTGCCCTGGGGCAACAGCATCGGTGGTAAGGGCTCTGCCGCACCCCAGTGCTGCCCCAGGCGCGCCCATCCTCCTGGCATCCCCCAAGGTCTCCTTTTTTCTTCTGCAGACACCTTCTCTGACCTCACCATGGCACGGCAGGGCTACCCCCGCATGGCCTTCTCCGCCTGCTTTGGGGGCATCATCTTCAGTATCCTTTGGATGCCGGGAGGAGGTGGTGGTGCCTCAGTTTCCCTGTCTGCAGCCCAGGAGAGCCCCTGCTCCTGGGGGGACCCCTGGGAAGGAGGTGGGCAGGATCCATCCCAGAGTCCCTGGGATGTTGGCAGCCTCCTCAGTGCCCACACAGTTCGAGGGGACTGGTGTGGTGTTTGTGACCGACAGGAGCTGCAGGGATGGAGCCAGCAGCATCCTCCGTCCCCACTGCTGCCCCAGCAGAGATGGGGGTTTGGGCTGGAGTCCAGCAGATTTGGGATCTGCCAAAGGGAAGGAGGGGAAGAGGCTGTGCCACCCTCCGGGAGGCTTTGGTAGTCCCCAGACCAGGCTGAAGCCTCTCCTCCTCCAGTACTCAAGGCAAACAGGCATCACTTTGGGCTAGGCAGCAGCCACGGGGCTCAGCCAGGGAGGAGGGGGGCCGGTCCTGTCCCTGTCCCCGAGGCAAGTGGGATGTGGCTGGCTCCGTGATTCCCCAGAGGTCCCCTGCACTGTGTCTTCATCCTGAACGCGCCCCAGACATCCTGGTCGGTGTGGGACTGGGCTGCCTGCTGCAGATGACCAGCAGCCAGCTGGTGGTGAAGGTGAGGCTGCGGTGACCCGGTGGTCCAGGTCGGGCTGGCAGCATGACCCTGGTGTCACTCCACGTCACTCCTTATCTCTCCGGCAGCTGGAGCCCGACAGCCTCCTGGTCTGGATCCTCGCCGGGGCCCTGGGGCTGAGCTTGGTCTTCTCCTTCGTGTCGGTGCCAGCGCAGTGCTTCCAGCTGGGCAAGGCGTATGGCGTCTGCCTCATCCTCTACTACCTGGCCTTCCTCTGCGTGGCCCTGCTGACCGAGTTCAGGGTGATTCGTCTCCCCACCGTCTGACCGGCCCCACTGCCGGCAGGAGATGCACGTCCATCCATGGCTCTCACTGTGCCTCCCTGATGGATTGGGGCCTCACTGTCTCCTCTTATTGTTCCTGCCAGGGCAATAAGGGCACCTTGACCCCAACCGTGCTGGAGGCATCATATGCCAGCCCAGCCCTCAGCCTTCACTTTCTCGGGCGTTTGGCTGGGTGGCTGTGCTTTGGGAAAGGGAAAGGGGCTTCCCATTAGCTACATCCTCTCCCCACTCTGTTTCATCTTGTTTAACTCAAGGTGGCTCCAAGCAGGAGTGAGGTTGAGACCTCAGCTTGCTCTGGTCCTGGTGGCAGGGGGAGAGAAGAGGGCAGCTCCAGTCTGGGGTCAGCCACAGGAGGGGTTTTACCTCTTCACCCACTTTACTTTCCCCTCCCGGTCTCCATCCTGGCTGTCGTGCTCCGTGGGTGACTGTGAAGGTCTGAGCCCAAGTTTGTCATTGCAAAGGACGTGACATGTTCACACCACAGGTTTGAAATAGCAACCGAGACAAAGCTCCAGGGCAGCAATGGTTTTAATGCAAGCAAAGCTGGAGAGGAAAAAAAAAAAAACAACAAACCAACTAAGGGAGGCTGGTTACCCCTGCTTTTTAAAGCTATTTTTTTCATCCTGAGTTTCAGATCCTACTTTTCTCCTCCTAGAATGGACAGAGCTGTAGGAAAGACTTGGAGGTTTCCACACATGGTGTTTGCCTCTGGTGAGACTAGGTTTAGGCACTGAAAAAAAAATATAATTGCAATAAAACCCCACAAACCCAACCTTGACTCTTCTTGTTTGCTGTGAGGGTGTTTTCTCCTGCTCTGTACCCAGCACGGTGCCTCGCTGCTCGCTTGGAGGGAGGGAGAGGGAGCACCCTGGGCTTCTCTGGAGCTGAGCCAGCAGCAGGAGAGCGGGGGGCCCGGGGGGCTGCCCCCCTCGGCTGCGGGAAGTGGTTTCCTGCACTTGATTTCTCAACAGCAGTCACATGTGCCCGGCTTGGCCAGTTCGTTGCGTGGTTGGGAACTGCAGCGTCACAGCGGACCTGGCCCGGGGTCAGCACGGACCGCGAGCCACCAGCACGGGACATTACTCAGCTCCCTTGGATGGGGACACTGGCAGGGCAGCCCACGGTCCCACAGGAAGGGGAACGGGTGGGCTGGTGCTTCTATGCCTTGCCGGAGGGTCTGCAGGACAGAAAGCAAACCGTGGGTACGGACAGACGGACGACCGCATTTCTGCTCCGCAGGGAGCGAGGGGCTGTTCTGCAAGGAGCACAACTGCCAGACCTGGTTGCTGCTCCCTTCCAGGGGTGCCAGCAGCCTCCTGGGCCTGAAGAATTTCTCCTTTTTCTAACCTGTTAAGGGCTTTCACAAAAAATAACGCTCCCTCTGCCTGCAGCTATTGGCCCTGAACCTGCTCACAAGTTCCCAGCAGCTGCTGGAATTAGCCAGGGAGACAAGCCCCGCTTCCTTACACACACCAGGGCTAAAGCAACCGAAACCGCGGCCAACGTACCAACACAGACATATGGGGTCAAAAAAACCCTTCTAACCTTAAACATTGCATCAGGGTAGTTTTAGAAATCTTAAGTTTGAAAGCGTTATCTTGATGTTTAGGAAAAAAACTGGCAAGGGGAAGGGCAGAAGGGAAGCCAGGCTTGGCAATGTCCAGGAACAAGAGCTCAGAGCAGCTCGGCAGGGCATGCATGCAAAATATGCCCACGCAAGCAGTTGCCACCGGAGAGGGAGGGCGGGCACTGATCCTCTTGAAATGCCTTGGAAATGTTTCAGCTGCGGCCAAGCCCCGCGGCTGGAATAACCCGGCAAGGAGGAAAGGAAGCCGCTGCCTTTACAAAGCTGAGGATGCTTTTTATTAGTGTGCTTGAAAAAAATCTAGAGAACATTTTACAGACGTGTCCATAAAATCATTTTATAAACAAAACACCAGCATACAAAATCCTGCAGTGCTTCCTCCCTTGCTCCCTACAAAATGATTGTCTCTGTCGTTAGGCTGTGTGTCAGGCGGGGGAGAGGAGGATAAATAGAAGGGGATGCCCCGTACTCAAACTTCTTTTCCTTCCAAAGTCATATGGAAGAAGTAAACTTCTGCGACCCTCCTTAGTTTACAAAAATAATTAATACGGTGTGTACATGGGGGCAGAACAACGCCTCAGCACGAAACCATGGAAGCAGCACCTGAGCCCTGAACCCCAGCCCAAGCATTCCGGTCTCTGTGACACAAGAGCCCTGTTACTGTATGTTAAGCAGGTTAGTGCCCCACTGAATGTATAGCTTAAATGTATAGCTTAAAGCTGCAGCTCCTTTCACAGCCAGAAAACACCCGAAAAACAAGTCACTGACAGCCCTGCAAGGAGAAATAGGCTGTAGGGGAACGTGGAGTTTAAATGTGGCCACATTTCCCTTCCCCTCAACCTTCACAATGCTTGTTCATCCTGCCCACAACTTAAAAACAGAATAAACAACATCTCCTCCAGCCCCAGGACTAATCTGGATAAATATCCCAGGCTGTGACTCCATGCAGAGCAACTGCAAGAGCAACAACTGCACTGCTCATTAATTTGTGGTCGAATTTATGGTTTGGAAAACAGCCCTTTAAGGTCCTTCACGGTTCAGCTCAGAAGTAGTTTCATACCTGCAGAACCCAGAAAGGAAACAAAGAGTTGCCCTGAGGCACCCAGGGAATTTGGCAAGGGTTGAGAGCAGACGCTGGTGTGCGTGCTGCCCAGAAAGCTGCTCACCCACTCTTCCCATCTGATAACCCACCATGCTACGCAGGGAGAGATTTTCAGAGGCAGCCCTGTCTCGCCTACTTGTGAAGTCTCATCCACCCAGGAAATGCTCCAGAGCTGCCCGGGTAGGATCAGTCCTCTCCTGCTGCCCTTGTGCCACGTGGTGAGGCTACTAAGGAAAAAACAGGGATGTGGGACAAAGGGAACGGGCACACAGATCTCCCACTGCCTGATCGACCCGGAGGAAGGAGAAGGTCTCCCCAGCAAGCTCTACTTAGTCTGAACCTGAGAAAAGATCAAACAGTAAGAGGCGAAGGGAACCTCCCAGCTGACAGAGACTTCTAGCCCTCAGCACGTACTGTGCTGACAGGGAGGGAAAAGGGGACTCACGGAGGCAGGTTGTCGTCATGTTGCAGGTGATGAAACACGAGTGATGACGCAACCTCCCATGATCACAGAACAAATGTGGCAGAGCTGGGAAGGGTTCCCTTTTCTCTCTTCCTTCACATCCCTCTGCTACGAGGTCTGGCAGCCTCCTTGCCAGCTGCAGAAAAGCAGATGGGTGAGAAGAATCATTGTCTTCCCCGTTCCTCCTGCGTTTGGAACGTTTCTGCAAAGGTGAGAGCAAGGGAGGAGCAACACTGCTGGGTTGGGCCTCGCTCAGCTGAACAAACAAAGCAAAGACTTGGCTGAGGACTAACCAGCAGCACCGTTTTGATGCCCATAAGCTCTCCTTAACCCACGACCAGGGAGAAATGTCAGACATGGAGCTGCAAAACCTTCCATTTCTGCCTCCTAGTCATCTATCTGAGCTAAGGACCAGCCAGAGATTTGCCATTGACAGAGCAGGTGGCCATGTGGCAGAGGTCAACAGCCACCGTCACCCTGCAGAATCCTCCCTCTCACTGAACAGAGACAGGAGCTTTGGGGTTTACAGAGGCGATCCCAGTCCCAGACAGAGCTGACCAGCAGAGATGCAGACATTGGATAGCTACAGCAGAGACAGAGTTCGTCTCCCCAAACTCCTGTCCCACCTATGGTCATAACATGGTGAGATGCTGGCCTTCGGTTCTGTCTCCAGCTGCTGCAGAACTGCTCAGGGACAGCTAAATTCAATAGTCAGAGCTGGATCTACTACAGGGAGTGCATCTAGGTTCGCCAAAAAGAAGGGGAAAGGCAGACTGCTCTTCCAAAAGTGCTGAAACTTCACACCACCTCCCCGTTCTTTGTGTGGGAGGATGGAGAATAAACAAAAACACACTCCCTGATCTTTTATTCCTAGGTTAATGGTACCCTTTAAGCAAAAGAGATCTTCAAAAAGGGCAAAAGTTTAAATATTAAGCAGGTGGCTTCAGCGCATATCCTGCTGTTAATGGATTACATATCCCTTTCCCCAAGGTCTGTTAGTGCTCACACAGCAGGCTCAAGCCTGGGAAGTGGCTCAGAGGGAGAAGGTCTCTGTTCTGTCAGAGATGTCCACTCTGTGCTAAGCATGGGCATCATGCTCAATCTGGGTGTAGCAACCTCACACAGAGTCCCCTGGGCCTCTGGTTTTACAGCAATTCCCTGCCTAAGGGAAGAGATTGAAACCCTAAAGCCAAACAGTACACGGACCAGATCTACATACATCATCCTGATATATACGCTGTGAAGTAATACTCTAGGTTATTGCATAGAAGGTGGCTCGCATCAGCTAGGCCTAAGTGACAGTCTGGGAGCGTTGTCGGAGGCTCAGGGGCTTCAGAGAGCTGTTGGAAGCAGATGCAGGCTCTTGCAATTGCATCTGAGATTCCTCTTTTCTGGAGTGCTCCTCATACCATTCCTGCAAAAGGAGATCAAACACATCGAGATCAGGCTCTGCCCCACAGCAGCCTCACACCCCACCAGCAGGACCGTGAACGGCAGAGCCCTCAGCTGCTCTGTGCCACATTTGCTCGGGCACAGAGGGGCTCTCTCCAAAGCCCTGGCTATAGCTCAACCTCCTGGAACAACCTGGTTAATCGCAGCACGACTGCGATGGATGCACCAAGACCTCAGCACCCACAGTCCAAGGCAAGAAGTATCAGCTATGGCTCAGTTACAGTTGGCTGAACTGTTGGGACTGGCAAACCTGGGCAAGGAAACATCCCTGGCTCAGGATGTCCCTCCTGAATGTCCAGGACTCCAATACTGATGTCACAGGGATGTCTGATGTTTACAGAGTTGCTCCCAATCCTGAGCAGCGCCCAGGGTGTTACAGT